GGAACACGAACGTTATTATGGTCTTTGCATGGATGCTCTGGTAACCGTATGCTCTAGGAACATGAACGTTATTATGGTTTTGGCATGGATGCTCTGGTAACCGTGTGCTCTAGGAATACGAACGTTATTATGGTTTTGGCATGGATGCTCTGGTAACCGTATGCTCTAGGAACACGAATGTTATTACGGTTCTGGCATGGATGCTCTGGTAACTGTATGCTCTAGGAACACGAACGTTATTTTGGTTTTGGCATGGATGCTCTGGTAATCGTATGCTCTAGGAACATGAACGTTATTACGGTTTTGGCATGGATGCTCTGGTAACCGTATGCTCTAGGAACACGAATGTTATTACGGTTTTGGCATGGATGCTCTGCTAACCGTGTGCTCTAGGAACACAAACGTTATTATGTTTTTGGCATGGATGCTCGGGTCACCGTATGCTCGAGGCTCTTGTAAACGCCGCAAGCCAGCGGACGCTTTTGACAGCGGATAAATCTCGGGCAAACGCCAGGGCGCAACCTAATATAGAAGAAGCATGCGCAGTGCTAACATCATTGGGCTGCCCTTTGGCTTTGCTGCACTTACAGTCGAGGCACTAGGGAAACAAGGCCGCCTTGCTCTTCACGTAAGTGACGCTCACATGTCTCTGACTATGTCCCAAATTTCAGAGGGCATTTTCTGCGCCACTGCTCGATTTGCTTGCAATGCCTATGTCGAGTACAACGTTTGAGAGTCTCGATGGACACTCGAGACGAGCCAGTGGGGAGATAGCCAACACTTGCCGCGGCCGATGAGGTTGAAGGCAGCTGGATGCCACCGTGAAAACGTTGTCCAGGAAGTCGAACTGCTCCATGTCCACGTGCACGCTCCGTTGACTGATGCTGTTCTACTGCAGGGTTTCCAGGTGTTGGAGCAATATCCGGCCCCTTCAAAACGAGTCCCCATTATGCTGATGATGCGGCTGTTCGACTCTCCGACTCTCCGATATACGTGCGGCGCATGTGCAAGGATCGAGCGGCTGCTATGGCTGCTACTAGGCCGTACTGACAGGACACAGGCGGGAAGCCTCAGCCACAAAGAACCGAGCTTGAGCTTCGCTAAAACGCCCTGAGCGGCGAATGTGCTCCAAGAGCTCGCCACCGCCTCTTCAGAAAAATGTCGAAAGCTCAACGTGTGGCTGCATGTTCATCAGGCAAAGGCCAAAGAAATCCGTGAGAAGGTAGAGCCGCGAAGCCGACTGGAATGCATACCTGAAGAGAGAAAAAACTTCAGCAAGTGCCTTGTGCCTTGGCCTTGCTGCCCTCCTGCCTTAGCCTCGCCACGAAGGGGTGGTTCGCCTGCGGAAAGTGCTGCGAAACCAAAGATCAGAAGAAAACGCAAGTATGCTAGGCATGCTAGGCATGCTAGGCATCGGGCGCTTCTCAAGACCTTCCTCTCAGTGATGATGTATTCAGCACGGCGCCTCTCTGGGAATGGGACCAAAGCGCCGCAAAAGGCTTTGTTGGCTTTCCTGGAGTCTCCGATCCGAGACTTGCGGAGGACCTTCATGGCCAGTAACCTGAACTACACGGTAACATGCACTTGTGAAGCTGAGCACGCGCATGAGAAGAGACTCATGAAAGGAGAGAGATCGAGCCGTCAGCCTCTGAGAACTGTCGTCCCTCTTCCTGACGAGGTACACTCGGCCAAAGGTTCCTCAAAGCGAATCAAGACAGCCAGTCTGCCGACACGATTCATGCCGCTGACAGTGAGCCATGGCCTTTCCCAATGCATTGGAGGAACCTCAAACTTTGAATGTCTCTAGCAGGAAGCCGCATTTCATTTGTAAGGGAGACACTCAAAGTCCGCTTCGCGTATCCTCTGTGGAGAATTCGCCTCGGGTCATTTGGTGAGGCTTCTCCCGGGACTTGAAGTATTGGGCGCCGAACACTCTTCTTGAAGGACGGAAGACTTTCCGACGCCTGAGCTGGAGCGTGCTGCATGTGCCTTCTGCTACGTGCCTTGGAGTTTGAACCTCTTGGCCCTCCCTGTGCCGCTCTTCAGGACCTCAGAGGTCTTATACAGTGCTTAGAGCAAGAGAGAAGGATTCCGTTGTCGCTTCCAAGAGCGAAGCCATCTGCACCTGGAGATCCGCGCAGATCATTTTTCTTCTGCTAAAGCATTAAGACGTCTAGATCTCACCAGAGCTCACCAGGCCTTCCAGGCGCTGATACCTCTCCTCACAAGTTTCTTCCCTCCCACCGTTTCTTTCGAACCACCTCTAATTACTTGTCATGTTTGACTTCGGGTCTTTCTGCCTTTCGGAGTGAAGCGCAGAGGTTGCGGCCGATCCGCGCCCCCATCTCCTGTCAGGCTGAGGCAGGGCCGGCAGGGCTATCAGGCTGGAGTGGACAGTGCCCTCCCCCTTCACCCCTCCCGCCTGCTCGAGGCTTTCCCATCCAAAGCGGAGCACCCAAAAACCCGACCTAAACCCTCACCCCTGCTTCCCCCTCCGAGCTCTCCGGACTCCGGAGACTCCGGAAGCTGTATACCTACCCCACCTACGCCGCACAGACCACGAGATGCAAGAGCGAAATGGCCACAGAGGAATTATCGAAAGAACGGAAGGCCTCAAACTCAACTGGCATCCACTTTTTTGGGGCCAAGATTTGTGCAGTCGTGGAACAATCAAACGGTCACAACAACTGAATTTGTGGCACTTGGAAAGCCATGCAAACCAGCACTGGAATCTTTTTCGCTGCGGATGAATTATGGCTCAATGGGCACGTGAATTACGTCGGAGAGACGGAGGCGCGGTAGATGAGCACCTGCGCGGCAACCGCACGCGTCGCACATGCTCGCGAATGCCTGCGAATGCGTGCGGCAGCTGGGTACCTGCGCCACAGCGCCCATGGCGGGCACTGGTTGCGCAAAAGGTGTCGTTGCTGCGGCGGACCCTTGGTAGGGCAGCTGCTGCGGCGGCACCTGCCGTGCAAGGTTGCGCAATCTGAAAGGCAACCTTTTTGCATCCACCGAGGTACTTGCTGTGAGGGCTGGATCCAACCTTTCCATGCCGGGCTGATGCTCTCTGAAAAGCAAAGTTTCCTGCAGGCAAGATGCGCATGGCCGGGGTTCGCCACCATCGGAACCTACGAGGACATGTTAATGTTGCAAAGGCGGTAAAGCCAGGTTTGTGGAAGCCCAGCCGACTGCACTCGGTGGCCAAGATCGAGCTCGCCCAGAACACGGACCTTGAGGACTTTAAGAAGCTTGAAGCTCAAGTGAGGCTGTCCCTTGGATTACCTGCGCATCCGTGGAGAGAGGTCGGAAGGCGGTTGAAACCCGCTGGTTGTCATCCACCGGTGCCCCAGCGCAGGCCTTCATATCCTGACAGACGCACCCTTCGATTCAGCCTTTTTCAGCCCCGTTGGGCCATGAAAAGAAAAGTATGTCTTGTTTGAGCTCCGTGGCTCCTGGATGAGAGGCAGTACCACCGCCAAGAAAGCGTGCTCACTTCCTAAGCCCAAGAGCACCTGAACGAAAGACACCCCCATTCCATCTCACACGTCTCACACTCCTAACGTTTCACGCTGTGAAGTCCGCGCCTCAGAGCGAGCGACCAAGCGATTTGCCTCCAAGCGAAGGCTTTCCGTCCGGTCCATCTGTGCCTATGGCAAACGCCATAGGCGCATCTCGGACAGCTCTGCAGCTCTCTCTTTTTAACGAAGTCTTAAGGCAGAAAAAAGGCTTTCGGCTCACCTGCAGCTGGACCCGCTTCTGCTTCTCCTCACGGAGCTGAGTTGCTGCTAGCTGCGCTAAGCTGCGCTAATCTGCTTTTTGCGATCTCTTTCTGCGGCTGTCCTCCAAGGCCGACTTTTGCAGAAGCTGCCGTCGCTTGGTCTCGATGAGCTCCCTGAAAAGACACATAAAAGCACGGGACGGAAATCTGGACAGCGCACTAATCCTACGGAGGCTGAGAGGACTAACCCAACGGTAGACGTTTAACGAATCACCGCTCTTTTTCGCGCCTTCTCAAACTCTCGCCTCCTGGTTACATGGCTTCTTCTGATTTTGCGGATTCTCTGAGTGCTGCACCGCAAGTGGTCCATCTCGCTGTTCACCTAATCCACTCACGGTTCATGATGGCTCAGCTTCTAGGTTTTCTGGGGTTGCAGCAGCGGCGCGTTGTGCTTCACCTTTATGGGTGATCTCCTTGGGTAAAGACGGGGCCTAAAGCACAAACCTTCGTATCCCCCATCAACGTCCTCGTCTGCTGCATGGAAGGTCTCCAGGAGCTCCTCACGTGCTCAGATCAAATGCCGTGCTTCTGACGTCAACAAGCTTGGGCCTACTGCAAGCTGGTGCAAGCTGGTGCAAGCTGCTTAAAGCCGCCTGGTACCCGGGCCTCCGACATGCGTTTGGCTGCTAAAACCAAAGCTGCCCGTGACCCTGGTCTCCTGTATCACTAGATGTGTGTGTGGTGCTTTAACCGAAGTGGTAAGCTTGGCTGTGAGTTCAATAAGGGTTGCGTTCTCTGTTGAAATTGCCCAAGTTGACGCACCACATGCTCTACTGACACTGCTGGCAGCTTGGATACACCTGTTACTCTGCACGGGACTGTCTCAAGGGTCACGATGGTGTGGTGGTGTGGGGTGTGGGACGGCGTGCTGGTGCTTGTGACTGCAGGAGCTTGGCTCGCCTATGGTAGAGAACGCGGACGCAACTGTGACAAACTTTGCAAGATAACGGTAAGTACTGTACTGATTTCTAGTGAAGAGTGAAGAGTGATTCGCTGCCCCACAAACCAGATCAAGTTTCATCTGTGGCATACCAACACTCTGGCTCTGCTGAGTGATGACCTCCTAGCTCAGATATTGTACTTCGGCCACAGGCTCAAACGAAACAAAACAAAACCTACTGTACTGCCCTCTATACGTATCTCGGTGTGGCAGCAGGCAACGCCTTGCAGGGTGGAGTAGTAACAGTTGTCTGGCATTCTGGATTTCCAGCCATGTGCAACCGAGATTTGTATGTGGATTTAGATTGTCGATAATCAAAGCCAGGATCCAAACTACCAAAATATCTCAAAGATCCATGCATGTAGCTTGACAGCCTTCATCAGCCAACTGTGCCTATAACGAATGTGTATCACGAATGAGTGGCGCAAGTTCATGCGAATACTGCACGTTATGGGGCTCGCCGATCGATCCGCTTACAGATAGCTCTTGCAATTTCAATCCGATTTTGGACCTCTCTCTATACCACTTCTATACCGCCATGTTTGCTTCTTTACGGCAACGCTGGACACCTTCCTGCTTCGACATTCTGCCGATTTCTGCCTCGACCCATTTGCCTAGCAAATTGTCTTGCCGTTTTCTCACGCGGCCTGGTTGGCTTCCTTCTTCCATCTCCGCCACCTTTGCGGCTGCCAACCATCACCTTTCTTGACGCCGCTTTAGGCATTTTCCAATGAATTGCGCGTGCGGATTCCTGTTCAGCAGAAATCGTTCCTTGAGCGACGACGCCGCTTTCCTTCGTTTCGTTCCAGCTCGGGCATGTCACACAGGGGGGGTACAGGGTACTAATTACAACTCCAACACAGCATGCAGAGTCTATGCAGAGCGGGCAGAACTAAATTACGAAAGCCATTTCGCAGTCCCCAAGCGTAGACTAGACAAGGCCTCCTGGGGAGTGCTCGTGTATATCTGGTCAGGCCTCCCCCATGGTATGGTCTGGGAGGGTGAGGGGGTTGGTGGCAATGATCGCGTGGAATCTCAGCCCTTCGCCATCTCAACAATGCCAACTGTCACAGTGATTGGGTGTCTGGAAGGCGCCATCTTCGTGACTGTCGTCACTTTTGGAGTCTGACTCTGTGTACAAGATTCAAAACATTGCCGACAGTTACAGGGATAGGCCAATTTGGGGCACGATCCCGGGAGCGGTAGATTTTGGTATTTGAACGTTTCTAATCTTCCACCATGAATAGCTTATGTGTCCTTCTAAGACCTTCTGAAGACCCCAGAAACACTGCATAGGCTGCATAGGAATGATAATCCATCTCTTTATGTCTATATCTAGAAAATCTGCCTGCCGGGTCTGACTGTCTGAGTGTCTGACTGTCTGCCTGCCGGGTCTGACTGTCTGATTGTCTG